CTTTGATGATGTAATGTATGGGAGTGAAGATTATAGAGATTATGGCAATTACTTTAAGTTGTCTCATATTTGTTCACCTGATGGTGGTGGTGGTATTATTATTATGCATCTCCACCTTTTGCATATTCACACTCTAGACAAAAAAAAAATCATGTATACTCAAAACTCCTTTTCATGGATACCATACTATAATTAAACTGATCATGCACTATTTCTCATATATTGCTTGCAAAAGTCTTTATTGTCATATCGTCTTGTCATATATGAGGGGTGTTTAGCACTACTTGTATTTATAAACATTTTTCATTAAAACTACTAAAACTTGATTTCTATATATAATAAAAGGAAGGACAATAGCTTATTAGCCATTATAGGTTCCAATAGCAAACCATTAAAATTTATATCTTAATTTCTTAATTTAAGCCAACTCTTTGGGCTAAAATACATTCCATCTTAAAAAAGGGCAACCAAGAACTTGCCAATGCAGGGTCTGGGGAGAGACTCATGTTTGCAACCTTACGCTATAGATACATAGAGAGGTTGTTTTCAAAATCTAAACCCTGACCACCTGGGTTGGAATAGAGCAACGCAGCTATTTCTACCAAGGCCGCTCAAAATGCTTTTAATGTAATATAGAAAATTAATTAACTACATGAAATAATAGTCAATCATTTATAATTTTTAAGTCATTCTACAATATAGAAAATTTTTGTATTGCTACTCTGGAAGAATGTAGAATATTGAACATAGCATATTGCATTTCAATCCTATACAGTTTTATTTGACACTGCCTGACAATTGACACCCCTGCACTTTAACCCTAATGTCAAACAAGTAAGATATGTGATAAATAGTCAATGTATCTACATTTTTTCATCACAAACTTCTGCACATTTATCCTTTCAAAGGATAATGTCCCACTTACCCATAGAACCAAGAAAAAAATCTCCAAAAATAAATAAGCTTTTAATGGATTTTAATGCTGTAGTGAAAATGCGGCTTGATTCAATGGTTTCAGTTGAGTCCTCATAATTCTTTTTACCATGTCTTTTAATCTAAACAAGCATGCACATATTTTTCTTTCATCATTTAAGTGAGCATTATATCAAATGCTTACAATCATCTAATTAGTAATCCATAAGCCTAGAAAATACAATTAACAAAATTAATTGATTGTTAGGTCTCATCCATTGCATGTATAAAATATTTTTTTATGTGTAAACTATTGCATAAGCCTATCACATAGATACTTCTGTTGTACCTCTTCCTAGAAACAGCCTCATACAGTTGGGCTAGAATCCATAGAGGGTAAAGTTGCCAGAAGTAGGTTATGGTCAAGGATATTATCCCCCATCTCTTGCAATGCAACAAAAAACTTGCAATAACATGCTTAAAAAGTTGAATGTGCTATGATGCCATATATCTCAAATTAAAACATCAACTTCAGAACCATTTTCTAAATCCTAACAATAAGGAACCAAAAAAATCCAAACAAACCAGGGAGACTAGAGACCAATGATGAAGAAGATCAATGATAAATGACCACTGTCTAATTAACAAGCAATAACACTGACTTGTGAGCTAACTTCTAAACAAAAAAAAACTACATTAGGTAAACCAACAAGCAAATATCTGAAACCAAATATTTTGCAATACCGCAATAGCATAATGCACTATTATGATTCAACTAAATAAAAAATCAAATCCAAATTATGAGAATTTTAGGTTTAATTGCTACATTTTTCATATTTAAGAGTTGCTCAATTAGGAGACACTGAAACAAAATCCCAAAACTAATTCCATGAATCCACCTCTAAACAAGTATCATCAATTTCATCATCTAATTTATCTATATAAAAAACAAACAAAAGAATAAATTAAACAGAACTTCTTTTAAACTAATAAGGTTTTATTATAAAAAACTTAAATTATCCACATAAACAAATATCTACAAAAAGGGAAAAAATTTACCTTCCAAACCAAACAACCAATCTTTTGTACAAACTAGAGCTTCAACATTTTCTAAAAGAAGGAAACTACGATATTGCTCTAAAATTCTACCTTCATCACTAAATGCAACTTCATAAGTAACTAAAGAGACTGAAATTATAATAACATCGCGAGCCATCCTCAATAACTCAAGAAAGCGAGACTCATTCAATTTCCAAAATCCTAAGATATCAATATGGCTTTTTTCGGTCAATGCTTATTTCCTCTAATTACAAGTCTAATTAAGATTTTTTTTTTCATTAATAGCATAGACTTGACTTTGAAAAGTATCAAATTCCTACAATAAGACATTAACTAAATAACTTTATATTTCTATTTTCTTAAAATTAAACATTTCAAATTATAATTACCTCCATTGGATTAAATTCCTCATCAAGCATCGTATCATTAGTGGCCTTGGTTTCAATAATTGATTTCACATTAGGCACGACACTACTAATCTTCATGTATTCAACAAATAAGTTCTTCAATATTTCTTCAACAAGAATAGTGTGATTTGTTACGTCTTCCACATTATATGTATTCTTATATACAAACTCCACAAATTTCAATTTGAAGCAAAGATTTAGAACCAGAATAGTTACCAAAATAATGCCTTATTCTTTCCAATATTTGTCAAATTTACTTAACATAGACTTGCCATTTCATTCAAAAATTCATCCATATCTTTCAATGCTTCCCTTAAACACAATTCAACTTTCCAAACCCTTTGAAAATATAAATTTGAAGTTGGATATTGGGTTCTTAAGAAAATGTTTGTCATGTTATAGAAAACTTTCAAAAATTTAATGATTTTTTCATCCTTCACTCATTCTTTTTTAGTTGAAGCATTAACATAATTGATATCTTATGATTTCAAATGAGAAAAAACTTTTCGATAAAACATAGCCCTTTTAAGCATCAAATATGTGGAGTTTTACCTTGTAGAACCATCTTAAATTAGTTTTTTTTACTCTCAATCATTAATTGATTGGCACATTCAACTAATCTAAATTTTTGTGCCTTATAACATTTAACAAGCTTTACGATTTCTTTAAATTTTATGCACCACATCATTTATTTCTTTCAAGCCTTCTTGCACTATTATATTCAAAATATGTGCACAATAACGCACATGGAAAACATAGAAGTGCATTTTTCAAATTAAGACACATTCTATACAAATTAACAAATGTATCATTGGTTGATACATTGTTTAAACTAATTGAAAATAAGTTATTTTCAATTTTCCATTCATTTAATACACTTAACACCTTCTCCAAAATTGCAAAACTAGTGTGAGGGGGTGGTACATGAGAAAAACATAGAATCCTTTTCTGTAACCTCCACTCACTATCAACAAAATAAACAGTGATGCACATATATGATTCCATGGTAATTGAAGTCCACATATGTAATGTAAGATAGATTTTACCAGGAAATTATTGTAATAAATCCCACAATTTTCTCTTCTCCTTATTGTATATTTTTAACACATCAACTTTTGTAGTGTTACGTGAAATTTGTTTCACTTTCGGATTCAAACCATAATATATACGCCTAATACCTTTATGCTCTGCAAATGAAAATGTATATTCATGTCTAATTATAGTCATTGTCATATTTTCTCTATATGCATCTTTATCACATTTATTAATTCGACTTTTAGAATATTCATCACCATCTCCACAAATTCCTATATGATGCAGCATATTTGATGTGTCGACACTCACATCTACAATATATGTTTTATCACAATTGTTTATTTTACTCTTTCAATCCCATTTTCATCATAAACCAAATAAAAAATTTTCCAAACAATGGAATTTTTTTTCTTTTATTCCTTGAAGTAAACTTTGATGATTTTTCAACATAATTATAGCTTTCCATTGACATTAGTCCATAACAAAAAAAAATATTTGATTCAGATTTATACTACAAACAAACAGAGCCTAAACGAACAGAATGCCAATAAGAACATCGTTTTAAGGTTATCAATTCATCATTAATGAAATAATGCAACCAAGGACACTTCGAAACATTATTAGCATGTTACAAAATTCTGGTCCAAATTTGTAAATATTATATCCAATGGTAGGCTACTATAGGACACTGACTTGTGAGTTGTGCTTACCACTGAAGTGAAAACAAAGAGCATATTATCTTGGGATCACCTGTTGATGTTTGTTTGTGTTGGATGGAAGTTAGATGTATATGATAGATAGTGGCCTCAGTACATCCTTCCAATCTTCAAAATTATAACAACTAAATGTTTGCAAAAGGTCTGAATTGGGTAAATGCCATTTTTTCTTTAAACAAGACAAACGAGTAGTGGATAATAGTAGAGGCAATGATTTTTCTCCAACAAATTTGATTCCAGTAAAATGCCATGTCAACAAGAAAAAGAAGGGTTTTATAAGTGCAGAGGTGGAACAAGCTCTTGATATATTAGATCAAGCATTTTTATGGTCTATAGTGGTAGATTTAGCAACCAAAATTGCTCCAGCTATGTAATTTCTTTACAAGATGGAGTCAACTCAAGTGGTGTAGTTTCTATTGAGGCACAAAAAATGGATAACATGAATAAGTGCATAGAGGAAACAGTTGCCAGTTTTGATGTCCAGAATTATAGGCCTAAGAGACCAGATTATCCTAAATGGGAAGGGTGGCTCTATTATCACCATAGCAAAGTTTCTCAGCTTTATGTTTTAGTAAATAATTAATAAGATGCTTTGGAAAATCGTGAATAATAATAGGGCTGCAGTTTGCCAAGTACTCAAAGGTTTTTTTTAACCCCCCAACCATAACATGGATTGTAGGAATAAAAATCCTCGTTCTATCAAATATCAATGATCACCCACAGATGGGGATATGCAAGGCATGCATTTGAGATTTTACTCCACTTCACATAATATCTTTTGCCACTCTGGGTTAGATAACTATTTGTATTTGCTTTAGAAGTAAAATTAGTTTTGTTTTGAAAGATAAAGATTAAAAACCCAAAATTAGCTGGTAACAACAGGAGAGGCGTCCACGATTTTATAATCACAATCCATCTACACGCACGAAATTGGGAACAAGAATCCCAATTGCAACCGCCGGCTCCCCAGCCTCTCACACCTCATGGCGTAACTCCATGCCTGTCTGTGTCGCTACCACTCCTGTTCCTGTTTGGAGCATTACAAGAAAGGGGGAGAGGGGCAGATAATTGCTTTGAGGGTTTGGCTTTCGTCTCTCTCGTTACCACTCGGGCTTCAATTCTCTCCAATCCTTTCTCAGCTTCATCTCCCCTCTCCCTCTTTCCTCTCAACCCCATAAAACCCCGCGTTACGACATCTTGCCTCCTCCAGAATGGCGGAAATTGCTTATTGTTTTAGCTCGAAAGGTTAGGGTTTTAAGCAGGCATCGATGGGACTTAAGGAACCGGAGAGGTTGCTGCTGCTGCTGCTATCCGCCATTTATTTTTCTTCCACAAAAGGATATTAGAAATTAAGAGCGAAGATTTTCTGGATTCTGAATTTGCTCTCACTCGTGTATTCTACGGTGTGTGGGTCTATCTATACAACTTGTAAATTTGTTCGTCTTTGCAATTCAATTTCTTGCTCGAGGATTAGGGTTTTGTAGGTGCTAGGATTTTCCTTTTAGTGTTTTTTATTTTAGGTCAAATTGTTCTGGTAGGCTGTGTGAATTCATAGTTCGTTTGATTGAGAGATGAGTCGGAGAGTGAGGAGGAAGGGGGCACAATCAAAGGACAAAGAGAAGACAATTTTGCAGAGTTATTCCGAAAATTTCGATGGGCCTTCCAGCTTATTAGAGAAGGTGGAGGTCGATTGGACTAGCTTGCCTGATGATACCGTAGTTCAGTTGTTTTCTTGTCTGAATTATCGAGACCGCGCAAGTTTGTCTTCAACCTGTCGAACGTGGAGGGCTTTGGGCTCCTCTCCTTGTTTATGGAATTCATTGGATCTTCGTGCTCATAAGTGTGATGCTGCCACTGCGGCTTCCCTTGCTTCTCGCTGTGCTAAGCTTCAGAAACTCCGGTTCCGGGGGGCTGAGTCTGCCAATGCAATAATGAATCTCCAGGCAAAGGGTCTGCGGGAAATTAGTGGTGATTTCTGCCGTGAGATTACTGATGCAACTCTCTCAGTGATGGCAGCAAGACACGAGGCACTTGAGAGCCTCCAGCTTGGTCCAGATGCTTGTGAGAGGATCAGTAGTGATGCTATCAAAGCAGTTGCTCTCTGTTGTCCTTTGTTGAAGAGGCTGCGGCTTTCGGGAATTCGGGATATTGATGCAGATGCCATTAATGCATTGGCAAGGCATTGTGGCCAATTGTCAGAGATTGGTTTCATGGACTGTACAAATTTTGACGAGGCAGCATTGGGGAATGTAGTGTCTCTTCGTTTCCTTTCTGTTGCGGGGATAAGAAATATGGAATGGAGTTCAGCATCACAAATTTGGAATAAACTGCCAAGCTTGACTGGTTTAGATGTTTCAAGAACCGATATTAGTGCAAGTGCTGTTTCAAGATTGTTGTCATCATCACAAAGCTTGAAGGTCATGTGCGCTCTGAACTGTCCTCTTATTGAAGATGGTACCTATACAGCATATAACCATAAAGGTAAGTTGTTACTTGCCCTTTTCAATGACATTTTCAAAGGAGTGGCTTCATTATTTGGCGACATTACAAACAAAGAGAGGACTGTATTTTCGGATTGGAGGATTTCAAAGAATGGGGATAAAAGCTTGAATGAGATTATGACTTGGCTTGAATGGATTCTATCGCATGCACTTCTACGTATTGCGGAGGTCAATCCACAGCTCTTGGATAGTTTTTGGCTCAGACAAGGGGCTGCACTTTTGCTCAGTTTAATCCAGAGTTCGCAAGAGGATGTTCAAGAAAGAGCTGCTACTGGACTTGCTACTTTTGTGGTGATTGATGATGAGAATGCTACTGTTGATTGTGGAAGAGCTGAAGCAGTCATGCGAGATGGTGGAATACATTTGCTTTTAGATCTTGCAAGATCTTGTCGGGAAGGTCTTCAGTCTGAAGCAGCAAAGGCAAGATTCTATTAATCTTGACCATTTTTGAGATCAATTTCCTGTATGTAATCATTGATAAATTGTTTTAACTGTTCTGAACTTTTGAGAGGTACAGGCTATAGCAAACTTGTCTGTGAATGCAAAAGTAGCAAAAACTGTAGCAGAAGAAGGAGGAATCAATATACTTGCTGATCTGGCAAGATCTATGAATAGATTAGTTGCTGAAGAGGCAGCTGGTGGACTTTGGAATCTATCTGTGGGAGAAGAGCACAAGGTTGTCTGTTATGCAACTTATTATGCAGTTATCCTCCTGTCCTGAAGTTTCTATTCATATTGATTTTCCTTTTTTCAGGGTGCCATCGCTGAAGCAGGAGGTGTAAAAGCTTTAGTGGATCTCATTTTTAAATGGCCCTCTGGTGGGGATGGAGTTCTTGTATGTTTCTTGCATATGATTGCCACATTTTGAAAAACTTTGTTTTATAAAGAGATGGGTGCTGCATTGTTATGGATGTAAGTTGAATTCATGCTTGTTTGCCCGATGCCAGGAGCGTGCTGCTGGTGCCTTAGCAAATTTAGCAGCTGATGACAAATGTAGCATGGAAGTTGCACTGGCAGGTGGTGTTCATGCCTTGGTGATGCTTGCTCGATCATGCAAGTTTGAGGGAGTGCAAGAGCAGGTAGAACTGATCTGTTCCTACTGTTTGAGAAGTAGTCACTTTTTATATTTGTTGTATATGCATATGAACTGATTCTAATTCTCAATTGCTTTTATTTGGTTCTACTTTAGTAGTTATTGATTTCACTGGCCTAGGGTTTAGGATATTGTCCTTATACTGATTCTAGCCACTTGCATTATGATGATGAATCCAAGTACTTTAGAAGCAATAAGTTTGTCTGCTCAAGTTCCTGATGTCCTGGTAATTTCTTCTTATGCTTGATTTTGGTCATATTGGTTGAAAAAAAGAATAAAGTTGCAAACTTTAATCTTAAATCTCAAGATCTCCATGCATTTCTTGTTATGTTTATTTCTAAAAAATTATTTCATACTTATCAAAGAAAAAAACAAATGCTTCATGTGCACAACTGCACATATTGCTCCTTTTAATTGATAACCTATAAACAAGGGTTGCCAATCGATACTGATAAAAAAAAGCCTGTCAATTGATTTCCTCTACTGGAAGCCATCTTGCTCCCTTTAATCTCTAGCAATCTACTCACAGTTGTTGGTTCATTGGTGTCCAAACTTGTTCCAAGTGATCCACTTTATATGGTTGGACATCTAGCACTAATTGGGGAGGCAATATACATACAAATGTTGGCCTATTGGTGGCCAAACTTGTTCCAAGTAATCCACTTTACTAGCCCAATCAACTTTCTGTGGAAAAGTGGAACCACCCAGAAGTGTCCATGTAGTGTTCAATGTCGTTTCCTACAAATATTGTGCTTGACATTGGTATACTAGGCACATGCAGGTATCGGAGTATCATAACTCAATTTAATCATATTAGGCAAAACAAACAAAGCCTTAGTGTGTGCCCTTGTTGATCCTTGATACACAACTTTCCCCTATGTTCATCCTCAGATTAGAGACATCCTAAAAAATTCCTTAGATTATTCAGATTGGCTCCTTCACAAAATAAGATTGTCATCTACAAATTGCAAATGGCTTACTACTACATAATTCCTCCCTACCCTCCATCCTCTAATCAAGTTATCCAAGTCAGCCAATCCTATCCTTTCTAGTTTTTCCACTCATCCATCTCAGCATATGCATTTCTACCACATTCATTTTCTGGACATGTTGTTTCTTGACTACCCAACACTTTGCTCCATGCCTCATAGCTGGCCTTACAACTATTTTATAGAATTTTCCTTTTAATCCAATAGATGTTTGCCTATCACATAAAACTCCAGATGCATCCTTCCATTTTACCCATCCCACCCTTGTTATGAATTATTGAACCAAGGTACCAAAAATGGGTCACATTGAGTTAGCTTTTGGTCCCTAATCCTAAGTGTACCCAGAGTTGCACTCCCATTATTATTAAATTCACGTGCCATATATTTTGTCCCACTTACTTTAAAACCTCTTGTTTCTAAGACATTTTCCATAAACTTAATTTTGCATTTAATCCTCCGTAGATTCATCAATTAAAACGATGTCATCAGCAAACAACATGTATCATGGGACATCCTCCTGAATGTGTTTAGTCAATTCATCCATGATCAATGCAAATAAAGAAGGGCAAGTTGTTGATCCTTGGTGAAGGCTCATCGTAACTGTTAAATCTGATGTCCCTCCCACATTGGTTGTTGCACCATCAATCATACGTATCCTTAATTAGGTTTATATGCTTATTTTGATCCCCTTTTCTTTTCCAAGTCTCTTCATTAATATCAAGTGCAAATATACAAAGATTATATTTTGAACGAGCACATATAAATCTCATTTGCAACAGTTCATTGGCCTTGAAAATAAGTCAATTTCTTTTTTCATGTTTTTTTTTGGGAAATTTCTCCTTATATTCCATTCTTATTTAGTCAATATAAAAATCAGGAGTTCAAGAACAGGGGCCATAATATCATATGCTAATGGCATAATTTATTCCTATTTGAGAATTAATGATCTGTTACTCATCAATGTGTAGGCTGCTCGTGCATTAGCTAATTTGGCTGCACATGGAGATAGCAACAGTAATAATGCTGCAGTTGGACAAGAAGCAGGTGCACTTGAAGCACTGGTGCAGCTTACATGCTCTCACCACGAAGGTGTCAGGTAATTTAATTACATTTCATAGTTAGTTTTGTTTCTGGAATTATTTTTGATCACTAACAAGATTAAAAGCATTTCGTTGCTAGAAATGTATCATGATATGTAACTCCTTCCAGTGCTGGTGCTGCGATGACAATTGACAAACGCCAATATGCTTTGTTTAACTAACACTGAATCATATTGCTCTTTGTGCCATCATAAGATATTAGTCTAACATAATTGGTAATGGCTACACAAATATTTTCTGCAATTTTGTTCTCATTCCCGTGTGTCCAAGAAATACTGCTTCACTCCCATGCATCCTTCACTGATTTGCATTCTTAGGTAGTTATTTTAATGCATTTGCTAATACTTTTGGTTATGGGTTTTTAATAAATGATGATCTGCATCTTACATGTTTTGGGTTTCTGAACACTTTTTACACAATTATTTTTTTTTGATGAATCTTTTTACACAATTATTTATCTCACTATCTTAATTGAAATGTGGAAACATATAATGTACAAGCTTGGTATAAATTTTTCAATCTGTCTTTTGAAATCTGGCCTACCTGTTTATAACACTGTTACATTATGGAATTTCAGTTGTTTACTCTAAACTATATGTATTTTTAGTTTTTTACTTGGTCTTCCTGGACCAAATATTGCCTTCCTTTGTCAATGTTTTCTTATTACACACTGTTGTATTTACACATGAAACAGGCAAGAGGCTGCTGGTGCTTTGTGGAATTTATCATTTGATGACAGAAACCGAGAAGCAATTGCTGCAGCTGGTGGTGTTGAGGCTTTGGTAGATATCTATATCCTTGTTATCTGAGCCAGACTATCCATTGTACTAAAAAAATTGTTTATTATACATTCTTTCATATGCATATTCGATGTCTCATCATCCAGAAAAGGAAAATTAAGTAGATATCTTGCTATATTAGCCTTGGTTACATTGTTCTGCCTTCAGAAGTTTGCATTCCATTTCTTATGGACATACTTGACTGAAGCCATCTGAAATGCCTCTGAAGATAAAATTGCATCAATAACATATCTGCAGATGCATAATCTTCTAACAGCACAACTTTTAACTATAGAATCTATATGTCAATTCATTAGCCAACTGATGGACCTAAGTGAGCAAGATGGCATGGATTCTATGAACACAACAGGAGTCTTTCTTGATATTTATCTCTTTTTTTTTGATAAGTAAAGAATCATATTCCATTAATTCAAAGAATGGTTACATGAGAATCCCCTTAGAGAGGTGCGAGGTGCTGCCTCTCCATACAGAAAACACAAAAACTACATCAAAAAGTGCATGACTGTTAAAAAACACAAATTACAGTTGCACCCAGAACAATGTTTCCCTGTTTGTCCCTTGTTTTGCCAAGACATCAGCAAATTCATTAGCTGATCTCCCAACCCACTGTACTGTTACAGACATATTTCTTGTCAGCCATTTGAATTTCTTTATCTCATTCTTGTAGTCCCACGTGACATCCCCCGGATTATTTAACCAGTTCACCACTGTCTTAGAGTCCCCTTCAACTAGAAGCTGCTCCACATCCGTTTGTTTTGCAAGAACTATTCCTTGTATTGCAACTAACAACTCTGCCCGAATAGAGTTCCCAACACCTGAAGGGCCAGAGTATAGTAAGACAGCCTCTCCAGCCTCATTCCTCAGTACACCTCCCAACCCAGAGGGACCCGGGTTGCCCTGGCTACTCCCATCAAAATTCAGCTTCAAAGAACCGTGAGGAGGGGGGACCCAGCTTATCATTACCTTTACCTTGGAGGAGGAGCAGCTTCCTACTGATAACCAATCCCTCCCAACAGTCAGTAAAGGAGAAATGATCAAACAAGTCCAGAGTCTTTAACCAATATATTGCCTTATCCATAATGCAGTCCTTCAAGGCCTGACTGCTCCTCCCCTTTTCCTGGAAGATCCTGGCATTCCTTTCTTCCCAAATTGTCCATAACAGTTTGATATTTATCTCTTTTTAACTATCAAATATTATGTGTTGCTTGAGTCTCCTTTAACAATGATTTGAAAGGACAATGGACTTTGAGATCTTTAGACCTTTAAGGAGGAAAAAGAAAACTGTCTCTATTCAAACCACCATAGCTTATTATCAGGCACAGAAAGATGTTTTAATATTTGTGCAAATGTTGCCAATCCTCATAGGCTTGAGATGCCCTGAGAATCTAGCATAGCAAAAGTTGCACTTAGATGAATTTGTAGGAAAGAAGACCAAGAAGTGGTAGAGGTTTCTATTTTTCACATGAAGGTACAATTTCAATGCCTGCTCCCACCTATTGATATGCTGTTATACCCTTGAATTTCTGGTGACAGCCAAAAGGAAGCTGAGCTGTTCGTCATACATATTAGGTGCAAAATTGGTTTTCCTATTTAGCTTATATGGGAAGGAGCCATTACTTGGTGTGATGGTAAAATCTCAGGCTGGCAAGGATGAAAATACGGATTCAAGTCTGAAGGTGGCCATTTTGTGCAAAAAAGAAATGCAATGGCTTTTTTTTTTTTATTTTCTTTTTCAGAAATGGTTGTTGTAGAACATAGTCTATGAATAACTTTCCTATATGTACAATTGAAGATTGATTCTCAATTTTGTTTAGGTTTCTCTTGCACAAACTTGCTCAAATGCTTCCCAAGGTCTACAAGAAAGGGCTGCTGGTGCTTTGTGGGGATTGTCAGTATCTGAAGCTAATAGGTAAGGCCAAAAAATTGTAATTAGTCATTGGGTTATGCATCTTTCTTACACATTTGTAATCAGAGAACTAATTTTTCCTGTATACCACAGTGGTATGCTGTTGATTGAGGTGTGCACTATTTTTCTCATTGCAGGTCTCTTTTTAGTGTTATACTGAACATGCATGATTAACAATTCTCACAGCTCATCTCTCACCATGTTGTTTGAAGCTCTTTCTCATTCTCACTTCATTCATGCACTAGCAAGATCCATTGGGAACCCTCAGTGTTTTAAAAGCGAAAGGCGCACAAAAAGCGACAGGTTCCAAATGCGCCTGAGGCGCAAGGCGCAAGGCGCAAGGCGAGGCCTCGCCGCGCGTGCCATTTTAAGAAAGGCGCACAAAATAAAAAAAAACTAAAAAAACTAAAAAAATAGAAAAAAATAGAAAAAATGTAGAAATTCTAAGAAATCAGGAAAATATAAAAAAAGTTAATTACTTAATTATTAGCTCAATTGGTTAGAATTCGATACTTAGATTTTTAGACATTACTCATTTAGAGGTAATGTAATCAGCTTATCAGAAATCTGAAGTTAATGAATCAGGAAAATATGCAAATATGCAATCATCAATGATCAATCTTGAATCTACAGAAATAAAAATTAGAGATAAACTCATAAACTGATAAAGTATGAAATCAGCAATGGTTCAATATAAAAATTAATAAATCAGCATGATTAAATATAAAAGAATTATAGAATATGCAAATGCAATCAGCATTAAATAAAAAAGAATTAAAGAATATGAAATCATCAATGATTCAATTGGTTAATCGGGAAAATATGCAATAAGTAGTTAAGTACAGAATTAAGAAATCAGCAATAATGAAGTTAACACTTAAAAGAATTAAAGAATATGAGTATATGACAATATGAGCACAACCTATGGTCCTATACAAACATTAGATAATCAGCATTAATGAAGTTAACACTTAAAAGACACTTACCTCTTGGTATCAKTATCCTCTCCATGGCTCACACCGTTACACTCACACGTAACAAAATCAATATAAAAATTAATCATCGCAACGTATATTTCAAAAAACAAGCTATATATTAAGTATTTAAATATGCAATATCAATTTTCTAATATAAAAAAAGGTTCTTTCATCAATCATCATTCCAGCATTGCATAACCTATACAAAAAGCAAGTTTATTGCCTATACAAAATCTCAAAATCATATATTCTCATATGTCCATTGACTCCATTCATCCATTCTTGATTCTTTTTTCCTCAAGATTCCAGCATTCATTCTTCCTCATTGTTTCCCTCTTCTTCATTTGGAAATTCCATATCATCTTCATACTCATCAGATTTTGACAAGCGACGTGGAGGAAGGAAAATCTTGATTAAATTGATTTAACAAGATATGAGGTATTTATACATGAGTTACAACTGTTATAATAGAGTGCTACATGTGGCAAGTGGGACAACTGTCATAACTAATGTTGTTATCCCAATTGTCATAACTAACATCGTTATCCCAACACCCCCCCCCTTTAAGGTGGAGCATCTTTGATGCCCAACTTGGATAAATGAGTGTGGAAGCGATCGGTGGAGATGGCCTTGGTGAATAGATTGGCCGATTGAGAAATGCTTGACACGTGAGCAGTGAGTAGGTCTCCACGTTGGATTAGATCACGAGCAAAGTGACAATCAATTTCTATGTGTTTTGTACGTTTATGGAAGATTGGGTTTGCTGCAATGTGGAGAGTTGCTTTACTATCACAATGGAGGGTTGGAGGCTCGGTGAGTATGATAGTGAGCTCAGCAAGTATTCTCTGTAGCCAGACTAGTTCAGAGGAGGCAGCAGCCATGGCCCTGTATCCGGCTTCTGTTGAGGAGCGGGAAACCGTGTGTTGCTTCTTAGTTTTCCATGAAAGAGGTGAGTCTCCAAGCAGGGTGAGGTATCCCGTGGTAGAACGACGGGTAAGAGGGCAACTGGCCTAGTCTGAGTCACAGAAGCCATGCAACTGAATGGTGCTCGTGGCAGAGAAGAAGATGCCAGTAGAGATGGTGCCTTTGATGTAACGGACCACTTGGAGAGCAGCATTAAAGTGTTCTTGGCGAGGATCATGCATGAACTGGCTTAGGTAATTAATAGCAAAACAAAGATCCGGGTGAGTTGCTGTGAGGTATACAAGGCGACCTACAAGACGGCGAAATTGTGCCGGATCAGAGCATGGGGGGCTGGAATCATCAACAAAGTGATTTTGTTGCTCCATTGGAGTTAAACATGGTTTGCAATCTTGAAGCCCTGTGTCATGCACAATGTCTAGAGCATATTTGTGCTGACTGAAGAAAATGCCAGATGTAGAGTGGGTTACTTCAAGGCCTAAGAAGAACCGTAACAACCTGAGATCCTTGATGCCAAATTGTTCATCAATGTGCTTCTTGAGAGATGTGATCCGAGCCTGGTCATCACCAGTGATGATGACATCATCCACATACACAAGTACAATCACAAATGAGGAGTTGGAGCAGGCAGTAAAGAGAGAATAATCATTGGAAGATTGCTGGAACCCCAAGGATGTAAGGGTGTGAGTGAATTTTGCAAATCACATGCGGGAAGCTTGCTTGAGACCATATAAAGATTTTTGAAGTTTGCAAACATATTTTGGCTCTGGAGTCTCAAAACACTGTGGAATTGTCATGTAGACCTCTTCATGGAGGTCTCCATGTAGGAAGGCTTATCCACATACACAAGTACAACCACAAATGAGGAGTTGGAGCAGGCAGTAAAGAGAGAATAATCATTGGAAGATTGCTGGAACCCCAAGGATGCAAGGGCGTGAGTGAATTTTGCAAACCACATGCGGGAAGCTTGCTTGAGACCATATAAAGATTTTTGAAGTTTGCAAACATATTTTGGCTCTGGAGTCTCAAAACACTGTGGAATTGTCATGTAGACCTCTTCATGGAGGTCTCCATGTAGGAAGGCATTATTGACATCTAATTGGTGAAGGTCCCAACCTTTGATGATGGCTACAACAAGGAGACAATGAACAATAGCTAATTTGGCAACTGGAGTAAAGGTGTCATGGTAGTCAAGACCTTCAATTTGTGTATTGCCCTCTGCAACAAGTCGTGCCTTGAAGCACTTAATGGAGCCATTTGCTTTGTATTTAATTTTGTAGACCCACTTGGAGCCAATGGGATGTTTGCCAGGGGTAGGGGTACAACTGTCCAAGTATTATTTCTTTCAAGAGCAGAAATTTCATCTGCCATAGCTTGTCGCCAGCGGGAATCTCGGGCAGCTTGTGTTTTGGGTTCAACTTCTAAGGCAGCATGGTTGGATTGTGAGAGTGAGGAGGGTAGTTGGTAAATGTAGTCATTGAGGTGAGCAGGGATGGGGGCTTGGCGATGGGGTCGTTGAGAATGAGTGATGGGTGGAACTGAAGAGGGGGCTGAAGTAATGGGTTGGGTCACATCAATGGTGGTGGGCTGAGTAGCAATGGTGTGTGTGTGTGTGTTCATTAGACGGGGCAGATGTATGTGGGTAATCACAGTCATCAGAGGGATGTGGAGGAAGTGGAACCACTGTTGATGATTTAGTTACAGGTGATGGGCCATCATGAAAAGGAAACCGATCTTCATAGAATACAACATCTCGGCTTGTGAAGATGCGTTGTGTTTCGAGGCTGTAAACCCGATAGCCTTTTTTGCCATGTGGGTAGCCCACAAATATACAAGGTTCAGCCCGGGCAGCAAATTTGTCCAAGGGTCGGGGAATGACTTGAACATGGCATAGGCAACCGAATGCCTTCAAATGGTCATAAGAAGGTGGTTGATGAAATAACATTTCATAAGGAGAAACATTTGATAGTAAGGGTGTGGGCAGCAAATTGATTATGTGGACTACAGTGAGTAGATCTTCATTCTTCAAGCCTTTTAAACAAAGCTGGCTGAAATAAATGTGTCACCCATTCATTCTTCATTTCCATAATCTTCTTCCTCATCTTCTTCATTTGGAAGTTCAACTTCATCATCCTCCTCATCATCAATATTATAGTCTCCCAAGGCCTCTTCCAATTCTTCTTCCTCAATCTCTTCATCTTCTAAATGAAGTTGAGAACTTTAACCCCCTCTAGACACTTGCATTGGCTGATGTTGCTGCTCTTGCATGAGAAGTTGAAGCTACACTTGAACCTCTATTTTTTGTGCTCCTTATTGGCTGTTTGACTCCCGAAGCAAGAGCCATATCTCCCCATGTTAAAGAATCATCGTCGAATACCAAATCGCTTTCAGCTCCACCATCTTCATGTGCCATCTCCTCTAATAACCATTCGTTACTTTCATCTATATCTTTCAAAGATATAGGGTCAGTGACACTACGTGAATCAAAGTTTTCTTTAAGCAATTGGTTAAACTTAATGAATACTAAGTCATTCAAGCGCTTTTGATCCAATCGATTCCTTTTTTTTTGGTGTGGATTTGCATGAATTCATAAAACATAAGATTGATTAATAAAATTAAAGTTTAAAACTAAACGTATCAACATGTAATGGATTATAAAATATAAAAAATATAATGTTAAAATCTTAAGTATAGTTTTAATTACATGCTCAAATACGCTCCAATTTCTTTCACATCTAGATGCACTGCATGTCAAACTAAGAACTTTAATTGCAATCTTTTGTAAATTTGGAACTGAAACACCATATGAAACCCACCAATCAGCTGTAAAAAATTAAATAATAACAAAATATTAATTAAAATTTTATTAAATAAATAAAAAATGCTAAATAATTAAATAAACAAACTATTAAGTCAATGTTACTTACCCGGTGCTTTTACCTTTCTTTGCCAAATAGCCATATCAAGACCAAAAACACCCTCTGCATTTTTATATTTGCTTATCTCATCAGTGATTGCGTTGATCTTGTTTTTGTCCTTCTCAAACAATTCAATTACTTTATAAAGCCCAGTGATGATTTCTTCATCTGAATCAATCCTTTCATCATCGTCATAGTAAAACTCTGGATTTAAATATAAGCCTGCTGCGTGCAATGGTTGGTGGAGTTGACACTCCCACCTCTTATCAATGATTTTAAAAATGTGTTTATATTTTTCCTCATTTCCACTAAATGCACTTGCAATGGCTTCCTTTGCCCTATCCATGGCTTCATAAATGTAACCTATTGAAGGCTTGTTCCCATGGTCTACCAATCTCAAGACCCGCACAAGTGGACTACACACTTTAGGTGTGAAGATGATGTTGTTCCAAAAAGTGGGCATCGTCATTGTCTCCCCTACCCTTTTCCCCTTTATTTCTTTTACCCACTTACTTTCATTCTAATCCTTTGAATTAAAAAGATCTCTCAAGTTCTATTTATAAATGCTTTGTAGAGTGAGAAAGGAAGTGGCAAAGTGGGTCTTTGCTGGCCAGAGTAATTCTCTCTGGTTTGTGTACTTCCTCATTAAATTTAACAAGCCCAGATGATTATAAATATATCCTGTTAGTGCAATAGCCCTTTCAATTGTTTTCCTTACAACTGACAACATTCCAATATCTTCCAAATCAAATCCAAACAGTGGGCAGCACATGGGGTACAAGTTAGATGAGGATGTTTTGCCGTAAAAAAATTTCCCTAAAAAGCAAATAGCATAATAAAATAGTCAAACATGTTTAAATTGAAAAGTTAAAGACTACAAAAAATAACTATCAAATAACAATAAAGCAATTATAAAAAGTAAAAAAATTTACTAGCTAAAACATAGTTTGAAGCATTGTCTGTGATCACTTGAAGAACATTCTTTGCCCCTATTTTCTCCACCATCTTGTCAAGTAATAAAAACAACCTTTCAGCTGTTTTCACCTCATTTGAAGCAAGCATCAATACTTTCAATAAACATGGTCCCACCACGATGATGGACCAAAAAGTTTTGAGGGTCCTATCTTTTCTGTCTGTCCACCCATTAGACATTAAAGAACAGTCCCATTTTTCCCACGCCTCCTTGTGGTGTTGCAGTAATGTCTTTGTGTGTTCCACTTCTTTTTTCAAAAGAGGAATTCACATCTCATAATAACTTGGGACTTTGTATCCCGACCCATATTGTCTAATTGCCTCTGCCATTGCTTCAAAACTTTTTAAAGGAATACCCACTTGATAGAACCATATAGCAATGTGTATATAAAGTTGTTCTCTTGCCTCTTTGTTTATGCATCGCTAATGGTTGTTTGCATCAAATTTTTCTGCTCCCTTCTCATTTCCACAACTTGTTCTAGGTTAGGTGTAGAAATAAATCTATCCATGGGGCCCCTTTGTCGTTTTATGGGTGGTGGCATACTGGGTTTAGAACATGATTCCTTAAACCCCGACCCTGAAGACCTAGTATTTGAAGATGCACTTACACTACCACTATGCTTCACACCAGATTTCCCTTGGCCATTAACTCCAAGTATGTGAACTTCATCTCCCAAAACATCTTCGTCTTCGATCATGTTCTCAAAGTCATCAAAATCTACAATGCGACCACTCTCTTCTTTCATAGGTTTTTTTTTTTTTGTTCATATAAGCCAAGATCTCTTCCCTAACACTTTTAGGACATTTAGTATAAGCTTTTGTGTTCCTCCTACCACCAACAATGTGTTTCTTGTCTCTATAAATTCCTCCATTAGCAACTTTTCCACAGAAATTACATGTCACTGCATTGGTGTTCTTGGAATCTTGCAAGTGACAATATTTCCAAGTTGGATCCCTTCTATTTCCTTGAGTTCCTTGGCTTTCTTCTTGACTAGCACCCATATCAGCCATTTTCTTATTAAATATTGACGGAAGCAGTGAAGCACCTTAACCTTAAATCAATAAATCCATGAAAAAAATTTAAATTAACATAACTATTAAGTTATGAGTATAATTATATTGACAATATAAAAAAATAACTAAACACAGATACAGAAGACCTATAGAATATTAGTGTATTTACCTGAACCGAATGTGATGTGAATCCCCGATACTTCAAGATCACACCACAGTAAAACCTATTATGAGTCTAATACAGAATCATTGTTTTAGTATAAAAATTAGAGAAAAAAAAGAATAAAATTAGTAGCAAAAAGAAAAAAATAATGTGTAAAATGATAAAATCATTGGAAGAAAGAAAGAAAAATAAATGGAACTTGAACCACTGTTTTCGGTGTAAAACTGATGAAGAATACAGTGGAAAGAAAAAAGAACACTAAGAAAGAAATAAAGAAAATAAGGGGGAAGAAGAAGAAAAGGGCTGGAGCCATGGAGGCCCTGTTTTCAGTGCAAATAGCAAACCAATGGAACTGTGGAAGAATAAAAAAATAAAGGGGTGGAGCCCCTGTTTTCAGTGGAAGAAGAAGGGGCAAGGCCCCTGTTTTTAGCGAAAAACAGTGAAGAAAAAATAGAAAGAAAGAAAGAAAGAAAGAAAGAAAGAAAGAAAGAAAGAAGGGGCGGAGCCCCTGTTTTCAGTGCAAAACAGTGAAAAAGAAAAAAATAGAAAGGAAGAAAGAAAGAGGAAGAAGAATCTATAAAAAAAAACAGAAAGAGGAAGAAGGAGCGGAGCCCCTGTTCAGTGCAAAACAGTGAATAAAAAAAATATAAAGGAAGAAAGAAAGAGGAAGAAGAAGGGGTGGGCGGAGCCCCTGTTTTTGGTGCAAAACAGTGAAGAATGAAAAAAAAGTAAGAAAGAAAGTGGAAGAAGAAGAAGGGGCAGAGCCCCTATTTCTGGTGCAAAACTGTGAAGAAAAAAAATAGAAAGTAAGAAATAAAGAGGAGGAAGAAGGGGAAGAGCCCCTGTTTTCGGTGCAAAATAGTGAAGAATAAAAAAAAGAAAGAAAGAAAGAGTAGAAAGAAGGGGCAGAGACGCTGTTTTCAGTGCAAAACAGTGAAGAAAAAATAGAAAGAACGAAAGAGGAAGAAGAAGGGCCGGAACCCCTGTTTTTAGTGCAAAACAGTGAAAAAGAAAAAAAAATAGAAAGGAAGAAAGAAAGAGGAAGAAGAAGAAGAAGGGGCGGAGCCCTTGTTTTCGGTGCAAAAACAGTGAAGAAAGAAAGAAAGAAAGAAAGAAAGAAAGAAAAAAAGAAGGGGCGGAGAAAGAAAGAAAGAAGAAGAAGTTACCGATTTTTGATTGAATGTGCCACTGGTAGATTGAAAAATGGATTGAATCTGGATTCTGGGCCTGGATGATCAAGAAGGTTTGTGCATGGAGCCTTGGATTAGAGTTCGATGATCAGACTTCTTTTGCTTTTTTGGGAAGTTTTGATTCATTTCCCATTATTTTTTTTATTATTTTACTATATGGTATGCAACAAGTTTAAAAGAATAGAATAAAAATAACTTTTATACATGATAATAACTATCTATAAACTAAACCATAGAGAATTAAACAAAAAAATTTGAATACATGCATAAGGTGCTTGCCTAGGCCGCCTGGCGCCTAGCCTGAGGCGCTCGCCTAGGACCTGAAATGCGCCTCACCTCTACGCCTAGGCACACCTAAGGCACGACTTTTAAAACATTGGGTTTGCTTTAAGGGCCTTTGTAGGGTTGATCTCAGTGATTTAAAAGGTGCGCCTCGGCGCACCTCAAAGGCGCAATTTGGTATGCGCCTCGCCCAGGTCCTAGGCACATCCCTTTCAAAAGGCGCACCCTGGGCATGCTCCTTTTTAAAATTTGTGTTTTTTGCTTTTTTTGAGTCTAACGGCTAGGAGTCCTCAGACCCTCGACCACGCCCCTCGAGGCAAGCCTGAACAAGTCTATGTTAGGGTTTGAAATTCTTATTTCTCACATAAACAATAATGATTTTATAACTTTCATTGCCTTTTTGAATGAATGAAATATCTTCTTAAAGGCAATGGAAGTTATAAAATCATTATTTTTTATGTGAGAAATAAGAATTTCAAACCCTAACATAGACTTGTTCAGGCTTGACTTGAGGAGTGTGGTACAAAAGCGGCTCATAGAATCAAGAATGCAATATGTTTTACATCACATTAGCTACTTGAAGCAATGCAATTAAGGGAAAAAAGAGATTGTGGGTTTTACATGCTTGAAAATGCTTTATATGTTTGCTTTTATTTTTAAATTTTCATTTGAATATGCTTTACGTGTTATGTTTATGTATTTTAATTTTAGATAATAGTTTTTTTTAAAACATTTATTTTAAAATTTAAGTTTATATTTTTTTATTAACATTATGCTTAATATTTTTTGATTTTTTTTTAAATTTTGGCATTTCTTTTGAATTTTCTAACTTTTTTTTTTGTAGTTTTGCACCTTGCGCTTTTTTTGCACTTTGCGCTTTTAAAACATTTGGGTGATCTCATAGGATTAGGAATGCAACTATGCAAGATGTTTAATACACACTAGCTACTTTTTTTTTTGAAATAAAAAATATCACACTGGCTACTTGAAGTAATGCAACTAGAAGACAAATAAATAGATTGGAAGTTTGACATGTTTGATTATCAAATTCTCGAAGCACTATAAGCACTTGGCTACATATGCCTGCTTTAACTTCTATGGTCACTTTGAGTATGTTATGTTTATGTATTTTAATTTTAGCCAATGGGAATTTCAAAACATTTAACTATTTTAATGTTCAAGTTTATATTTTTTTTTATGTATCACTTTTTAATTTTGTTTTTATTTTATGGATTTTTTTTTTCAAAAATTTGCACCTTTCTTAAGAAGGGTTTATTCCTTGTGCCTTGAGTACTTAAAAGCCCTTGCATTTTTCTTGTGCCTTGTGCTTTTAAAGCACCGGCTCCAACAACTTTCTCATCATTTTCTATTATATTATTAGCATAGCCGGCCATAGTTTCATGTTATGATATCTTTACCTATTAAATGTGCTGTTAAATTTGTTAGGAAGAGTTAATTTGTGACGTTCCTAATATTGTTCTCAATTTTCTTCTTAAACAGCATTGCCATTGGACGAGAAGGTGGGGTTGCACCTCTAATAGCGCTGGCACGCTCAGAAGCTGAAGTAAGTATTGCACCTCTATGTTCAGAAGTGTTTTTATATATTTTTGTTTTTTGTCTTCCTTTGTTTTTAGAGTATATATTTGCAAAAAATTTGAGTCATTCATCCAGAAAACATGCATTCTTTTCATAGAAAGGCATTCTCTAGTCCCTCCTTATTTTACATAACAAAATGCATGGAAAGTGCTTTTCCTGAAATAATGCACATGTTCTGGAAAGTGACTTACGACTCCAATTCCCTGTTTCTACTCATTGATATGCAAACATAATCCATTCTTTTTAAGAAAAAAAACGTTTTTTTCCTACTTATTTTACATAATAAGAATGCTTGGGGAGTACTTAGAGGTCAAGGATTCAAAATTAGTGTTTTCTTTTAAAACTTAAGGCCATATGCTATTCATATGTTGGCTATAATTTTTAGCTGACGTATAAAACACATCCACATGATTTATATGCAACAATCTTCTGCATATAATTAAGGAAAGTCACCTCCCAAGTGACTTAGTCATGCATTGGGTTTAACCTCGGAGATAATCAGAGGTATTACTGTTGACATGATTATTAGATTCTTGGGTGTTATTGTTGGTTACCAATATTTGCTCTTACAGATACAAGATTTCATTGGAGTCAAAATCCCTCTAGTGAAACCACAGTCAAACTTGATTCCCCTCATCGGAACCATGGTTAAACATGGTATTAGTGGGTATTCCTTATCCTTAGGTAATTTAGCATCAGGTTTAAGGTTCCCAATCACTAATGGTCGCTCTTCTTTATATTCATAGCTGGGATCCAGGTGACGTTAATCCTACTTACGGTTGTGCCCCGTGGAAAGGTATCCAAAGTGCCAAATCATATATATATATATATATTTTTGAAATGAATAGATATAAAATTGGGGATGGTATGAGGGTAAGGTTTTTGGATGACCTCTGGTTTGATGAAAATAGGTTGAAAGCGGTTTACCCTGTTTTATTTGATTTAGCTGTCAACAAGGAAGCTTGGGCGACTTTTTAAAATGGTATAGCAGTGTGGTCTCCTTCTTTCAGGAGGAACTTAAACAACTGGGAGGTGGAGCAACCGACTGATCTGCTACAAAAGCTCTACAGTTTTATCTCAAACAGATAAGGGAAAGTTGACAAAAGAGAATGGAGATGGTGTAAGGATGGCAGGTTTTCAGTTAAGTCTTTCTGTAGTAGTTTGGTGGAGATGGGGGAAAAGTAGTTTCCCTTGGAAAAGTGTTTGGTATAAAGCTTCTCCAAACAGCAGTTTTATTGTTTAGAAAATGATGCATGGGTCTGTTTTATTCCTTTTGTAATAAGAGCAGTGATTTTTTGAGTTCCTGAGAAGTTTGTAGTTAATATGGTCTTGGATTTTTTTTTCTTTTTCTTTTTTTTTTCTCAGTGATTCATTATCCCTTTTTTTGATTTTAATAAGGGTGACAATTCCTGACTTGATCCATGCATCCTCCTCATTAACTTAGTGGTTTGTATAAGAATTTAAGAATTTATAATGGGTGGTGGGTAACACCGTACACCATCAGACGACCTCTGTCCTCTTTCACTTATGCTGGGTGGGTGTGGGTTGGGTAGGTTCAGTGGATGGGTCACCCCCATTTAGGTGCTCCATGCAGATGGGTGTTAAATGGCTGGTTTGTAGCCCAAACCACATCTCTTCAATTGCGACTGGTAACACACTGCCTGCTGGAAGTGAGAAGACTTAATATTATGGACCTTTAAATTTTTGGTGTTTTTTCTTTTGCAGGATGTCCATGAGACTGCAGCAGGGGCATTATGGAATCTTGCTTTCAATCCGGGAAATGCTCTACGTATAGTTGAGGAAGGGGGAGTTCCAGCCCTTGTTAATCTTTGTTCATCATCAGTTTCAAAAATGGCACGATTCATGGCGGCACTTGCATTGGCTTACATGTTTGATGGAAGGTAAATGATCATCTTTGGTCATCAATCATGCAAGAAGATTGTTTCGTAAGTATCAGACTTTGACATGTGGTAGAGTGTATGTCAGGACCCATCATATACCCATAGTTGTCAAGGCGACGCCTAGGTGACAAGGCGCCCTTTGAGGTTCGCCTTGCCTAACTGCCAAGCAGTTTTGTACTATGTATTGTAAAATACTTTTTTATTCTTTATTTTTTGACATAATAATTATAAAATAGGCACTATTAAACTAAAATATTCATCTTGTGTGTTTATATACTAATTTCTTTTTATTATTTTCTTATTTGTTAGGATTTAATCAATACAAACATTGCTAAATGCTGTATTGAACCCTCAAAGACATTAAAACCTGAACCAATAAGGAAGAACTTAAAATTGTCTAATCAACAAATTTTGTCTACTACTACTATGAAAATTATGAATAATTATTAAGGAGATATGGCTACTCGCCTTGGTGCCTTGAAAAGTATGCATATACCTTCCATTAGGTATTCCAAATTTGCATCGGTAAATGTTGCTGAATAAGACTATTTGTTTCATGTTGGTGTAATGGCCTCAATATAGTCTGGATTGTGTGGATCTTTTGTACAGAATGGATGAAGTTGCCTTGATTGGGTCATCGTCTGAAGGTAGTTCGAAGAGTATAAGCTTAGATGGTGCTAGAAGGATGGCATTGAAGAATATTGAAACTTTTGTGCGTACATTTTCTGATCAACAAACCTTTTATGCTGCGGCTGCTTCATCTGCCCCTGCATCCTTGGCCCAAGTTGCTGAAGCAGCACGTATACAAGAAGCAGGACATCTGAGATGCAGGTTTTTTATTTTTGTTTTATGCTTTCTTATAAATGTTTTCAATTCATTTGTCTGCATTTGTGTTCTTGTGTTTATGTGTGTATGGTGGTAACTGGGGTGTGGTTACATTTTGTCTGGAAAGGCAACCAATTTAAACTGTTTTACCTGGTTAAATTGTCACATGCTATTCCCATTTGTTCTACAATTGTTTTTTTTTTCTGCAAAAGTTGTCTAGTCCTTGTTAAAGTTAATTAGCTGATTAATATGTTAATCTACTTGTTGTTTTGTGTATGCATGTGCTTTCGTAACCATATGCGAAGGTAAATATATCCTTTGTTGATGAATGCTTCTTCTTTAACTAGGAAAAGAAAAGAAGAATCGAAGGTCAATTTTAACATCCACTTGTAATATACTAACCATTTTATTCTGTCAATGCCATTTTCTTTAGTTTAATTTAATTAACCTTTTTCCCCTCAGTGGAGCTGAGATTGGACGTTTTGTTGCCATGCTTCGTAATCCTTCTTCTATCCTTAAGGCATGTGCATCTTTTGCTCTTCTCCAGGTAAACAGAGAATTTGCCATCCAGTGACCTTGCTTTATATTTAATTTTCTCTCAGTTATATGTACCGGTACTTGTTGGAGTGGATATTCTACGATTCTGAAGAGATGATAAACTCGTTGGCTTTAATGGATTTTCCCTTTTATTGCAGTTTACCATTCCAGGCGGCAGGCATGCAATGCACCATGCAAGCCTCTTGCAGAAGGCAGGTGCAGCGCGGGTACTACGTGCTGCTGCTGCAGCAGCCACAGCCCCCATTGAAGCCAAAATCTTTGCGAGAATTGTACTTCGAAATCTTGAGCACCACCATGTGGAGGCTTCCATTTAAAGATTGACTGGGTAGATGGAAAAATTTTCAACCTCACTCATCGATGTAGGTCAAGCTCGATCGTGTATTGTCGTAGCCTTCTGCTCTTGGTGACCTTAGTGCTGCAGAATATGTTCTGCCCCATGTAAAACTAAAACAGTCAAGAACTGAAGCATGGTGTCATCTCAGTTGGATTTCTCTCTGGACAACAGTTTGTGCTCAATGGAACATGTCTCTTTAGAAACGGTAAAGAAGGGTGGTGGTTAGGTCTTTTCTTTCTTTTTCTTTTTTTTTCTTTTTAAATTCTGAGCTATTTTTGGTGGTTTGGTTTGGTGTGGATGTGATTTACTTTCTTTTTCTTTGCATGTACCCAAGTACCGGGTGGCGTTACTTTTTTTTTGCATTTCTGTATTCATTGTGACAATGTGGTCTAACATAATTATAAGATAGAAAGCTATTTGAGACTTGAGATGTTGGTAGAAAAATTACCATTATCAGTCAAGATTGGTTTATTTATTTATTTCTTTTTTGTTTCGTAAACAGAGGAATGATAGGTGGCCTGGCCAAATTAGAACGGTTCCATCATACCCATCATAAATGTGATAGAAACTTGTGTCTCAAATCCAGTCATCCAGATGCCTCAGCTATTTCCACAAAAAAAAAAATGTAAAATTTCCGATTAGTATGCAACAATTCAGTCAGTACCTGAATTTTCAAAATGTGTCAATCCAGTACCTGTTATTGTTATTGACCAGCCGTTCAGTGGCATTTGAAAAAGACACAAATACCCCTTGAATGTTATCTAATTTTCTTTATCAACTATTAAAAACATTGACAAAAAATGAATAGTCATAAATCTTTGCTTCTTCTATTTAAGAAAGTTGGGGTCACTGGAATATCCAGGAGGAGGCAAGGGTTTGAGACTGTTTATTTTTTGTCAACATTTGTATGGTTGATAAAGAAAATTAAATGACATTTAAAGGACATTTATGCCTTTTTCAAATGCCACTTAATAGATGGCGGTAGGTACTGAATTGACACATTTTAAAAGTTCGAGTATTGAATTATTGCATTTTAAAGTTTGGAGACCAAAATAGCATTAGGCCCATGGGTCAAGCACTGACTGATTTTTGTTAACCTCAGTTTTAATTCGATTAGATTAGATATATATTATTTTTATGTTTTTGGTTGGTGAAAAACTATACTCTTATTTCTTATGGTGTTTGGCCTTTGCTCAACAGGAAGACCGAAAAGAAGAAAAAGGCGGCCTTGAAGCTAGCTGTTGGCATATCTTGACCTCCTTGTAATATTTTCAATGGCAAGTTCCACTGATGTGAACAGGGTATGGGTATACATGCAGGGAAATAGCCAAAAAAACACTGACTGACACGGAGAGAGAGAGAAAAAAAAAAAAAAAA